AAAAAAAAAAAAAAGAAATATAGGTGGTTTTTGTGTCCAAATCTTGTAATGAGATTACCTTTCTGGGTTTGGATACTCTTCCCAAGCCCTGATCTTTCCTGTAACCACCTTTAGCTATGTGTCCCAGTGTGGCTGGGGATGGTGTCAAATGGCAGGAGCTGTGTCTAGGCATGTCTTTCAGACTCACCTTTTTGGCTCTTCAACTGCATCAAAGGTAGGCTGCTGTCACTTGCCAGCCTGTGCCTCCTCTTCCCCCCACCTTTCACAGGGCAGACTACCCTTTTCTCTGCTCAATGACACTGGTCTGTCCTTTGTCATTGCCCTCACCCTTCTATCCCCGTGCCTGGCTGCTATGGGTCTTGTTTTTAAAACTGCACTGTGGGAGATCCAGGCATCCTCCCTGAGCCAGCTGGCTGCTGTGCCAAGGCCTGTTCAGAGTTAATAATAATCATTAGCTGAATGGTGGTGGGGCCTTTCAGCTCCAGATCTCTAAGCACTTGCCGGCTGAGTCAGCCAGCCCTCACCGTCCCCCTCTTCCTAAGCTGTGGAGTATACTAGAATGGGGAGGCACTGTGGGAGTGGAGGGAATTTAGGAATTCTGGTGCATGGCCATGCCTTAAGCCTTCTCCCGCCTGGGAATAGGCATTGACAGTCCTCTCAGTAAACTAATAAGACCTTTGCATCAGAGATCAAGATATGTAGGGAACACAGTGTATGCGTGGCTAGGACTGGTGGTGGCAGTGGCAGTTACTGACTGTGAACCTCTAGTACTCCTGCCCTTCCATTTACCTGTCTTCGCCTCAACCAGGTGGGCAACCCTGGTACTGATGTCTCAGCCTCAGCATTTCTGGTGCCCCTTGCAAGTCTAGAGTGCCATGAGGCATCTGGTTTAATGCTTGATGCTCCTGTGTCTGGCTGGCATAAAAACCTAGTGTATCATAAAATGAATGGTGCATTGGTTTGGGAACTGGGAAACCTGCAATATGGGTCTGCTCTGTTCCTAATGTTGGCGTGGTAGTGGGCAAACCGCTTGCTGCTTGACCTACCTCACAGGGATGTTGTGAGGGTTAGACGAGTGAATGTTAAATAGGCAGAGAAAATTTCAAAGCATTAAACAAATGCAAACAGGTGGTGTTATGTTCTTATCTTTCACTGAGCCTGGCTCTGGGCTTTATGATTCTTAAGGAGGCAGTAAACAGTTACGGATAATGATCCCAAGAGGACCTGAGTCTCAGTTGTGCTGGCCATCGTAAGAGAACATGGACACAGTTCTTCTCTCTAGATGCAAGGTCAGAGTTTATCCACTTCTCCCAGAAATGCCACCAAGGCTATGACTACAGAAGTTTGCCTTAAGTGGTGCCTACCTGGTGATTTCAAGTCATGGGGCTGACTGCAGATGTGGGAGTAACACTTGTCCCCTAGGTCCGTTCTAAAGTTTCTGGAGCTGCTGGTCACAAGTCTATTTAAATCTCCCCATACCAAGGAAAAATGGGGCAGACAAACCAGGAAGACAAGAGCAAGCAACAGTAACAAACAGCACAGCCACCCTGGCCCTCTGGTTTTGCTTGTAGCCATGAGCTGAAGGAACCTGCCTGGGGCACTGGAGATGCAGCGCTGTGACCCTGGCTTCCAGGGGTGCAAAGCTTGGTTTCCCTTTCCTTGTTTCAGACTCTTAGAGTAGGATCCTCAAAGTGCTTTATCGGAATTAAAACACACCACAGACACACACACACCATGCACGCACACCATGAAAGCAATTCTGTTTAAATTTTAAATTGGGGGAAGGATACTTTCCATTCCATTTGTCTGAAAGCAGCCAGCAGTCTGCCTGGAGTGGATGCAGAGAAGCAGGAACAACAGCAGTGCAGTAGCTTGAATATCTGCTTTTTATCTTAATTGTTTTTTTCTGTCCAAGGATACATGAATGAAACACTGCCCAGGCATTGTAGCCATAGCTGAAAGGCAGGAGGATGGTGCCCCAAAACTGCCATGGAGGGCAGTTTGAAGGAGACAGTTTCCCACACTGGGCTTAATGTGGATACAAAACCTCCAGTAAGATGACCTTCCCCCAACCCAGAAGGCTTGGCTAGTCACTAGTGTGCTCAGAGAGTAACAGTCCCATTTTTACAGTTTTTGGCCGGGGCTGGGTTTGAACCCGTCACCTCCAGCATATGGGGCCCGCGCCTTACTCCAGTCCTATTTTTAATCCTCTTGCTGTCAGTTTCTCAGATGAGTTTTAATCTTGTTGGAAGCAGATTAAGGAATAACTTCAGGCTACTCTGTGGTATCTGAGGAGTCAACTGTCTCACTGAGTCTGCATGAATGCCCCCCTCGCACCTATCATTAAAGCAGAGTCCCAGTTAATGGTGCTTTCTAAGGATACCTGGTTCTGCCAGGGTCCATACCAAAAGCAAACTATAACCAGGTGAGGGAGCAGTGGGTGAGGGTAAGGCAGCACAAAGTACTGTCCAACTCCAACCTGCATGTGCATTTGTGCACATCTTTTGTGTTTCGTTGGGGACAGTGACTCTTGCTTTATGTATGCCAGCACAGAAGGGCACTCAGAAGTCCCACCATAGGGCTCTGTGTCCAGGCTCACTGCAGGTTGGTTCTCTTAAGTGATGGTTCCACACACCCCCATGATTCACAGAGAGTAACCAGGCTGACTAGTTTGAAGGCCTCGGGGCAGGTCTAAGTGTCCATTTTGTATTTTCCACCGGCCACTGTATAAGCCTGATGAAGGGGCTTTGATTAGCAGCTGTTCTAGCCTTCCTCTCTCATGCCCCTGGAGAGGAAGCATCCAGCATGGGCTCACTGTGGCTAGACCACAAAAGCCAACCGTCCTACTGCAGGGACCTGACATTTTTCTGCCATGTGAGCTGAGAAAGTGAAGCTTCACCACTGGTTTCTTGGGAGACAAGGTGCAAGTGGTGCAAGAACTGCAAATGCAGAAAGGGAAGAGAAGCCAGGCTAGCTGATACACTGAATGCTCATCTGTTCTAAAAGGCACTGTCATATCAGCCCCTATCCCTAGAGGTACCTAAGAGGAGCTAGGGAAAGTGCTGTAAGACATGACAGACAAAATTTCATGTCTTGGCAAGAGTCTAGGGAACTTCTGTGACTTGTAGGGGTGACTGAAGAGATGCAGCCATGGACTTCTTTGGGATGGTGGAGAGAAGAGTATCAAAACTTCTCAGGCTCGGAGACAAGGTCCAAAATAGAAGGGAGAAAGAACTCCAAGTAATCTTCCCCAGATCTGTTCTCTTTACCAGCTTCATCCTGTTGACCAAACTATTAGCCAAAGTAAAAACTGCTTCTGCAGATTGCAGGAGTGCTCTGGCATCAGCAGCTAAAATTTCATTGACTGCCAAAAGTTGATTTATCTGATGTGCCTGGCTGGTAGTTGTCTCCATTCCTCACCTTGGCTGTTCCTCCTGAAGTGAGAGACAACTTCCTAGTTACAGGAGGGCTGCCCTTCGGTGGGGATTTTATGAAATGTAAAAACTAGGGGTCTATTCAAATACTGATTCTTTTAATTTCTTTTTTCCTTCTGTCATTTCTCCTTCCCCTTGGTACTCCCTTTCTAGAATTATCAAGAGAGGAGCCAGAGAATTAGCATGGTCAGAGTGCGGACTCCAGTCCAATTTCTGGTAAGCTGAGTTTGTACCCAAAAAGTGAGGATTTCATTTTTCCATTCCATGCAATGCCTAGGACACATTAAACTGTCACTGAACATTAACTTTTTAGCCTAAGATGAACATACTTTTAGTTTAAGATGGCTGCCATTTACAACATGCAAATAAATTGGTAATAATAAAAATGTTGTGAACATAAGCTGCTCCCCACCATTTTTTAAAACCCAGTCCAAGCATTTTCCCATATTAAGGTTAGTGGGCTTGATCCAGAATCCTAATAATACTTACTCTACAGGGAGGCAACTCTTCTTCCCAGGGATCTAGGAAGCCTTCATTATCTACATGTCTTAGCCCCAAGTCATGCAATTTCTGAACTCTAAAGCCTTAGTGACATTTCTTTTGAGACTCTGTATCTAAGGGGTCAGCAAACTATGGTCTGTTGGTTCAACTAGCACACTGCCTAGTTTTATGTGGTCTGTGAGCTAAAGTAGTTTATATACTTTCAAGTGGTTAAAACAATATGAAATTCACATTTCAATATCCGTAGAGTCTTAATGGAACAGACCCACAGTCGTTCACTTATATACTGTCTGTGCTGTACTGCTGTTCTAGTGGCACAACCAAGTGGTAACAGAGGCTATCTGGCCTGTGAATCCTAAAATATTTATTATCTGGCTCATTACAGAAAAGGTTTGCTGATCCCTGGTCTATCTTAATGACTTGATGTGGATTTCCATGTCCTTATTTAAAGATTCTCTCCCTAGATAGGCCACATCCTTCTGAAGAACAGAGAACCCCACCCACAGGCTGAAAAGGTAAATAAACCAGATTGTGCCAGAACAGAGACTCAAGCCAGGTTTAATGATCATTGTCTAGTTTTCAGAGCCCAGAGGCTCCAAGGTTTGCCAGCCTGGGTATACACAAGTGGGAGGAACAGGGTCCTGGACATGGGAGGCCAGCTTGCTTTGCCAGCAGGGCTACAAGGAAGTACAGAGGTAATAACACAGAAAACTGCAATTAGTCAGCTTTGCTCTTCCCCAGCTGGGGTGTACCCTCTCCTGGCCCCTTCCTGGGGGCCCCCTAAATACAGGCCAAAAAAAAAATCACAAATAATTACATAGATTATAGAGCCCTATCACACTCTGTCTCCAGGAACACCTGCTTCCTAGGAGACATGTCTGGTTTATGGTGCAGGGTGGAGTGTGGGGATGAGGTGATCTCCCACCCTTTTCTTATAACCATACCTCGTAGTTCTCTACACAGGGTTCTATTGAGCTTACATATGCTGAATACTCAATCCTTCACTTAAAAGGCTACCTCTGGGTTCTATCAAGTGAAGCTAACTTGATAGAATTTCCTCTATCAAGGAAAAAGCTAATCCGTTGAATCTCTTGGTGAGGCAGCCAGGCACATATACTAGGTGTCTCAGACCAGGGGCCAACCCAATGGATAAAGGAGGGAGATTCAAAGCTTCCCTAAACTGGGTAGAACTTGCAAAGAAAATGGCCCTTCTAGTCCTCGGGAGCTCCACTAGAATGCCTGCTTCATTTGACATTCACTTTAAAGATTTTCAGAGCCCTACATGGTGCCAAGAGGGAAAACTAGCATGGAGATGAAATTTTCCCAGGTTTCCTGTTGAGTCTGAGGAGAGTTCTGGTTACTGTAGCTCCAGTAACAAAATCCTCAGAAGTCTCTGGAATATAACCAGACAACTTTCCCCCCCCCCCGTGAGCAGTTAACATAGGAAGAACAACTCACAGCTGCTTGGCACCCTGCCAGTTTCCTTCTGGGTCCTTCATTGACCTAGTTCTATCTTAATTTCTCATATATATAGTCTTTAATCTAAGGGAGGTTTCTGAGGAGCCTAAAGGACCAGCTAGCTCCTCACCACCCCTTATCCCAAGGTCTTCAACCCATGTTTCTCCTAACTCCAGCCTTTGCAGAAAAGTGATTCAGTGCCACAAAGATAAGAGTGAAGCATCAGGGAAGTTAGAAATGAAAGTACAAGAGTTTGTGTATTTGAGGAGCCTGGCATGGTCACTGTCTCTCCTACAGGGCAAGAAAATTGTGTGAAGTTGTGCACATAGGTGGAGACCATTCTGAGAGTGGCATTAGTGGGAACTAGCGATTCACTGTCCTGATGGAAGTCAAGGTGCTGATGTGCATGCATACCTATAAGCATGCATACCTATGAGCATGCAAGTACTTGAGGGGAATGCTGCACCTTTCTCTCAGCAAGACTAGGTTACTAATAAAGGATGGACAGCAGTCTTGAGATCCCAGGACCAGACAAGGGGAAGTACTGAGTTCCAGTCACCTTCCCCAATCTTCACAGGATGTTTAATAGTCAGGCCCTCCTAGCAAGCAGCCCTCACCTGCAGGTAAGTAACACCTCTTGGAACCTAAAGAGCAGTTCAGAAAACTAGAGGATCTGGAGAACTTCCAATGGACAATAAATATGGGAGGGAAGAGACACTGAAAAAGACCAATATCAGAAAGCAAGTTCACCTTTGCCCTGCTCATCCCCTGCCAAAGCTCAGAGCAACCACTTCCCAGGGCATCCAGTATTACCAAAGGGAAAAGTTAAAGGGATCCATCATCTCCATACCTGAAGTATTCTGCAACCTGGATGGAACATAATATTGAGCTTATTCTTAAGCTCCTCTGGCCTGACCACCACAACTGCACAGACTTCTAAGAGGGATGGGGTGGCAGAACTTTCCTTCTGAAAGTTTAGTGCTACCAATTGTCTCTGCTACAGATTGCCCAGAATGTTATGGAGAGGACAGAACTCTAAGCCACTCCAAATTGCCATTCTGGGGCAGAGACCACCTGATTCCACCCCTCTGATGACAAAATCCCATACTTTGGCTTTGCAGCAGGAGTGAGATCTCTGAGTGAGGAAGCCTTGTCAACATAGAGGAGATACATACCAGGTCCCCTCTACCTCCAACCAAGCCCAGTCTAACCCAGCTGAGGCCAGACTTTCCTGGACTCCTCCCTTTGCAGAGAAGCATATTAGGGAAAACTCAGAATCCCACCTGAGGTTGATAGGGAGACTGAATGAAGAGAAGGTATTATGCAGAAAATCAGTTAGGACCAGCTGGATGCTACATAATAGATGCAGATTTACCTTCATCCTAGTGTAAAGTGGGCCACATGTGTGGCAGGCATCCACAAAAGCTCTGTCTTCAGCAGCCCCCACCGTGGTCTTTCACACAGATACTGAGAATCAAATGCTAACCAAGGGTTTCACCAACCAGGGAATTAGCCTATCTGGAGTTCACCGCCCCCATCTGCAAGTTCTGTGCTGGCACTTCTGCTGTGACACACATCTATCAGTTCATGCCATACCCCTCTGTGCCATTGGTTCCAGGACAAGGCACATCCCACATTGCTGCCATAACCAAACAGACAAAAGGCCAGCTCCTGCAAAGATCTATCTACCCAGGGCTTCTGGAGAAAGAGGAAGGCTTTAGTGAAGTCTCTCAGTAGCTTTGGGGCATTTTATTGATTGAGGTCTCAGTCTTTTCCTGACTCATTTTCCAAAGGTTTCCAATTTCCCCAGATGTGAAGTATGACTTCCTAACCAAAGAAGATACCACAGTTTCCCCCAATGTGGCTTCTGTGGAAATACTCCACACACACACAACATCATAGATGTGGTGGGCAGAGACAGAAAAAAATTTTTTTCCAAATAATTTTCTCTTAAGGAGCTAGGGATGACCTCAAAAAAGTTTAAGGGATCTGCTTTTCCCCTCACTCCTTCCTCATTCCCATTCAGCTCAGGAATGCTTCTCTTCCTCAACCACATTGCGAACTGCCAGGGCTTTGGGTAGGGGGTGTAGCATTTGCCGGAGGATTAACATATCCGTATTTGAAGATTATGGCAGCCACACCCTAGTTAGGGTCTTGCCCTCTGTGACCAATTCCCTTGAGGTCAGGAAGAACCCACTCCCTTGGCCAGCCAGCCCTCTCTTTCCATCCCCTCATATCCTTCAGGGGTGCATTACCTCTCCTGGGGCAGAATCTCCCCACCAACCCATCCTGCTCACACCACAATGGGCGTATCAGAGAAGACCGAGCTGACTGATTCTGGATCTGACATCCTCCGTTGGCCCTTGCCTGTTGCCTCGGGCACCGGCAAGGTGTTGCCTGGTTTGAGCTTGCCATTTTGACCCTGCCCAGGTCCAGCAGGTTCCAGGAAGGCCACCCGCCGGTCAAAACCATCATCTTTGTCCCCACCAGCCATAGGATCATGGTTGGGTGTGGTACTAAGCATGGAAGAGCTGAGGCTGTCTCCTTGATGGCTGGAAGGCTTTTCTACACCCCGGCACCAGCAGCGGCAAGGGGTGAGGTATAGGTATATGAGGACCAGGACCACACTGAGAATACAGCCCACTAGGGTGGTATAGGCTGTGTTTAGGGTGTCATGGTGTCCGTGAGAGGTGGAATTGTACACTTTCAACTCCACAGACAGTGTCTCATTGAAAGTGTCCCCTGTGGCATAGCAGGTATACACACCACCGTCCTCGACCTGCACCTGGTGGAAATGAAGACTGCCATCCTTGGTCACTGTTGCTGTGCTATTGGTCCCCTGATCTAGCACCCGTTCATTGCTTGGTGTCACCCACATCTTGGTCATCCCCTGCTGCTTGGTGTCACACTTGATGGTGAAGGTATCACCCAGGTGGGCTTCCCAGGCACGCTCCTTATACTCACTGCAGTTGAGGAAACTCAGGTTGAAGACATTGTACAACCTCTTGGAGCTGTTAATGCAATACAGGTCCTCCTGAAAGTCCATGACGGAGCTCAGCTGCCGGTACTGCCAGTGTGAAAAGAGCTGGTAGAGCTCACAGTCGCAGTGCAGGGGGTTGTTGTGTAGGTACAGCCCGTTCTTGATCCAGGCCGGCAGCTTCTGCAGGTCAGGCAAGGGCAACTTATTCAGCTTGTTAGAGGAGAGATCCAGGAGTGTTAGTTTGGGTAGCTTGGCTCCTTCCTTGACCAGTTCCAGAGGGAAGCGAGAGATCTGGTTCTGGCTCAGGTAGAGTTTCTGCAGCTGGGCCATATTGTCAAAGGCGGAGCGGTCCACCGCCACAATGTGGTTGTTGTAGAGCAGCAGCACCTCCAGTGCTTCCAGTTCACTGAACAGGAACTCATCCAGCGTCCGCAGCTGGTTGGAGGAGAGGTCCAGGTAGCGAAGGTTGGGGACTGGGGAAAAGGCCTCAGAGGAGATGAAGTTCAGGTGGTTGTGGCTCAGCAGCAGGGAGTGCAGGTGGGTCAGGCGGGTGGGGGTCCACTCAGCCCGCAGGCGGCTCAGATTGTTGTGGCTGAGGTCCAGCAGTGCTGTGTAACTGGGCAAGGAATGGGGCACGTTGGGCAGCTGCTGCTTGGAGCAGCTAAGGATGTTGCTGGCGCACAAGCAGACGGCAGGACAGCTAACCAGGGGTCGGCCAGCTCTGGCCACCTCAAAAAGGAGCAGGAACAAAGACAGCAGCAGGAGCCAGAGGCCTCGCAGGTCACGCTGGGGTTGCATAGTGTCACTAGAGTGGGCGAGGAAGGCCACAAGGAAGATCTGAGAGGAAGTTACCCGGGCATGTTCTGGTGGGGTACAGAAGGGTCACTTTAGAGAAAGAGGATGGGTTTGTGGTCACTGAGGACTCTACAGGGAAGGACCACCTCTCCCACTTCTCCTCCCTTCCCACCCCCCTCCCACCTCCCCCTTTGCACTAGAAGAGAAAGAAAAGAGATGCTGAGTAGTTCCCAGGCACTGTGCAGGGAGTGGGCTCAAAATACTGGGGCAGACGAGGAGATAGCACAAGGGCCCATAGGGCTGGGGTCACAGGGATATAGGATAGGGGTTTGCACAAGATGTCAGGGAATGTTGGGGGTCACAGGGATTGCACAAGCCGGGTTTGGAGGCGGGGTAGACAAGGCCTGTGGGGAGGAGCTGAGGGAAGGTCAACAGGGCACCAGGCTGTGTAGGACGCACCCTGATAGGGCTGAGGGTCCCTGGGCCTATAGAGGAGGGCTCCCCACCCCCCGGGACCTCTGTTCACTGCACCTGCTCGGCGAGGACGTGTCTCAGCCCATGGCTGGTCCCGGAGCTCCGTCGCGGCCTCCCCTGGCGGTGTCTCACCGGCCGGCCTGTCACAGCGCCCGCCTTACGCAGGGGCCCGCGCCTGACAACATCGCCTCCCTGAGACTTGCCGGGCTCCGCTCTGCTCGTTCACGCCCCGCCTCGGTCGCTGCGTCCGCCAGAGTCCACCGACCACAGTCGCCGCCTCGGGGTCTGCAGGCCCGGTGTGGAGCGGTGCGGGGAGCCGGAGGCGCCGCGATCCGAACGGAGGGAGCGGCGTGGGGGCTGCGAGCACCGCGCGCGCGCGCGCCCGTCGCCGCTGCCGGAGCCTCGGGGCGCGTGCGCGCGGCGGGGGCGGGGCGCACGTGCGTGTGTTTGTGTCCGAGCCCTCCCGGCGGACGTGCGCGGGGTTGTAGCCGCTGTCCCCGAGCTGGGTCATTTTCTCTGTGAATGTGCCCGGAATCCCGAATTGGTGATGGAAACTGTCAGGAAGAGGGTCCCCGGCCTCTCAGGCTGCTTTATTACAACCCCCTACCCCAGTACCCTTTCTTCCACCCAAACCCACCCTCAGGAAAAGTATGTCTAACTGAAATCAATTAGCAGCAACTGACTTTGGGGCAAGAAGCGTCATATATCTTTTAATTTTACAAATTAAAGGCATCTGGCTCAGCTCCCACCTGTCAGTGTTGGCGGGAAATTCATTAGTCACGACTTGAGTTTTCCCCCTCCCTTCTCTATGGAGCTGTAAAGTCCCAAAATTTGAGGAAGAGGAATGTTTTTTTCCTTCCCAGTTTTTTTTTTTTTTTCACAGCTCACAGCAACCTCCAACTCCTGGGCTCAAGCGAGTCTCCTGCCTCAGCCTCCCGAGCAGCTGGGACCACAGGCGCCCTCCACAACGCCTGGCTATCTCTTGGCTGCAGCCGTCATTGTTGTCTGGCGGGCCCAGGTTGGATTCGAGCCCGCCACCCTGGGTGTACGTGGCTGGCGCCTTAGCCACCTGAGCCACAGGCGCCAACCCTCCTTCCGCGGTGGATGCTACAAGTCTGTGACTCTTGAGGTTATCAGTCAAGGGCACAGCCTTCTAGCCTGCGAGCCAGTTGTGTACGAGTGGGAGAAGTAGGTGTGTCTTTGGTGCCTCCAGGCCCAGGCCTGAGCTCCCCTCTGGTCTACAGCCCAGGCACCTCTCCTCACTCCACCTGTTACACACACAGGGACTGCATGCGAGCCAGGGACAAGTTTCCATTCTTGAAAACTCCAAAACCTTTCTCAGCTTGGAGGAAATCATTAATTCCTTAGGTCTGGCCACTTGCCCTCTTCCTGAACCAGTACCAGCTTCCCCTACTCCCTTCGTGGAGCAATTCTAGCATAGTTTCTCTATTACCTAATCTTCGAGATGAAGGCCAGTGGTGGGGGTGAAGGGGTGTCTTTAGGGTGGTCCCTGTAACAAGAAGAAGCAGTTAACCAGTATGTTGTGGGGGACTGGAGGGTGGGGAAAGGGGAATGTAGGAACCTTATAATTTAAGATTTTAGCTATTCTAAAAGAGATGGAATATAGGGGAGAAATTACCTTTTTATTCTTTCTAGACTCTTACAACAGCAAGACTAATACTGAAATTAATGTCACAATAGATTAGCTTGCTGGGCAGTGCCTATGGCTCAAAGTAGTAGGGCGCTGGCCCAATATCCCGAAGGTAGCGGGTTCAAAACCTGCCCAGGCCAAAAATTGCAAAAAAAAAAAAAAGATTAGCTTGCTAAGATATTTTAAAAATTTTATTTTTATTTATTTAGTTTTTGAGACAGAGTCTCAGTCACCTCAGTGACTGTGAGCTCAGAGTGCTGTGACATCACAGCTCACAGCAACCCCAAACTCTTGAGCTTAAGGTATCCTCTTGCCTCAACCTCCCAAGTAGCTGGGATTACAGATGCCTGCGGCAAAACCGGCTTGTTTTTCAATTTTGGGTAGAGACAAGGTCTCATTCTTGCTCAGGCTTGTCTCAAACTCCTGAGCTGGAGGGGTCCTCCCACCTCAGCGTCCCAGAGTGCTAAGATTACAGGTGTAAGCCACCATGCCCAACCAGGCTAAGAGTTTCAAAAAGAATTTATGTCTGTCACATGTTTTATCATGACTTTAAGTGAATATATTATTTTATCTCAAGAGGTATTATTTAGCATGTTAACCTTATGCATGGTGTGAAAAGGTCTTCATTTTCCTGTTTATCCACATATCAGGCAACAGTGCAAACATGAAGAGGATGTTCTTTTTGGAGGGCAGGGAGAAATCCTGAAATCATATTGCATCAGTTATCTACTGCTATATATCAAAATTTCCCCAAACTTAGTGGCTTACTACAAAAATATACACTTACTGTCTTTCACAGTTTCTGTTGGTCAGAGATTTGGCAGTGACGTAGTGGACAGTTCTGGTTCAGAGGCTTCTTTTTTTTTTTTTAAGACAGAGCCTCACACTGTCAACCTGGGTAGAGTGCGGTGGCATCACAGCTCACAGTAACCTCCAACTCCTGGGCTTGAGAGATTCTCTTGCCTCAGCCTCCCAAGTAGCTGGGACCACAGGCATCTACCCTAACAGCCGGCTATTTTTTGGTTGTAGCTGTCATTGTTGTTTGGCGGGCCCGAGCTGGATTCAAACCCGCCAGCTCAGGTCTATGTGGCTGGCGCCTTAGCTGCTTGAGCCACAGGCACTGAGCCAGGTTTGGAGGCTTCTTATACAATCGAAGTTATATGTCAGATGAGCTATAGTCATTAGAAGGCTTTACTGGGCTCAGTAGATCAACTTCCACAGAGGTTTACTTATGTGTATCATTCACATGACTGGCTATTGGCAGGAAATATTGGTGCTGGTCCACAAGATGGCTTGATCATCCTCACAGCATGGTAGCTGACTTCCCTCAGAGCAAGAGATCCAAGAGAGATAAAGAGAGGAGTCACAGTGACCTAGCTCTTTGAAGTGACACCTGTCACCTCCACTTTGATCACATATACAAGCCTTGATTCAATATGGAGGGGCTACACAAGGGCACAAATACTAGGAGGAGAGGATCACTGGGGACCATCTTGGAGGTGGGCTGTCACCCATATCATCTCTGAAATCACATCTTTTATTATTTTGAAAATTTTCAAACATTTTCAGTGTTAGTAGAGAAACATACACAAAAGTAGAGTAAATAGTACAGCGAACTCTCATATATTCATCATTCATATTCAATAGTTATCAAGGAAATGACATCATTTTATTTTGTATAAACATCCCTGCAAAATACACAGGTACTCTTCCCACTGCATCCCATATCCTATACTAACTCTCTTTAGGTTTCGATGTTCCAGGCTCTCTCTTCTCCCTTTCCTCTTTCTGCTACATTTAAGGGGTAGGGTAAGGACAGGTACAGAAAAAGGCGGCCATTTATGCTGAATACTGGTTTCACGAGTGGGTACCTACAATTTGGAGGGGTAACCACAAACATAGTCTTCATTCAGTCTCTTTTTCAAAGCTTATCCAGAAATAACCATGCCTCTTTAAAATGTTGATGGGTGTACAAATCATTAGGGGATTTTGTTAACACAGAGATCCTGAATCGGTAGGTCTCGGTGGGAGGCCTTGGGAATCTGCATTTGTGACAGGCTAACAAGGTGATGCTGATCCTGCTAGTCCACAGACCACGCTTTGAGTAGCAAGAGTCTGGAGCTGTACTTCCCCACTTGGTAGCCATTAGCCACATGTGGCTATTGAAATTAATCAAAATTAAATAGCATTATAAATCACTTCCCTAGCCACATTTCAAATGCTCAATAGACACATGTGGCTAGCTACCCCACTGAACAACACATCATCACAGAAAGTCCCATTAGATGGCACGGGTATAGAGAACTGACTCATAACAACTCTCCCACAGCTGCTTTTTAGACCGGAACAACTATCTATTAATTTACAACAGAAGAGGACCTGGGAAGAATAAATAGCAACAGGTTATTTTTAGTGAATGTTTATTTCCTCTTGCTGGAATGGATAAACCTAGTGTTCCTAAATACAATTTAGAAGGCTGGTTAGCTCAGTACTTGTGCAAAAGAGGTTGGATATGTCTACCTTGCTATGAGACTGAATGAATCGCCTTTCTTCATTCTAGAAATATTCTTTTCTTCCTTACGAACTAGTATTGGCCATTAGAATTAGAGTGGAGAATGCTGGAGGGGGATGCACCCAATTAAGAAGCTGTATTTTTACTTTTAAAAATACTTTTACTTTTACCTTTGGCTGAGCAGGTGCCTCAGGCCTGTAATCCTAACACTCTAGGAGGCTGAGGTGGGAGGATCACTTGAATTCAGGAGTTCCAGACCAGCTTGAGAAAGAGTGAGCCCCCTCCCACTGTCTCTATTAAAAATAGAGAAAAAATTATCCAGATGTGGTGGAGCTTGCCTGTATTCCCAGCTATGCAGGAGACTGAGGCAGGAGGATTGCTTGAAACCAGGAGTTGGAGGTTGCTGTGAGCTAGGCTGACACCATGGCACTCTAACCTGGGCAAGCAATGAGACTCTGTCTTAAAAAAAGTGTGTGTGGGCTCAGCGTCTGTGGCTCAAGCGGCTAAGGCACCAGCCACATATACCTGAGCTGGTAGGTTGAAATCCAGCCCAGGCCCACCAAACACCAATGATGGCTACAACCAAAAAATAGCCGGGCATTGTGGCGGG